AAATAAAATAATAAAATAAAAGTAAAATAAAATAAATGAAATAGGTAGGAGTTGTCACTCGTCAACTACGTAAGTTATGACGTAGTCGAAACTGTTACATATAGGTACTAGCATATGTCCTAATATATGTTCAGTGTCATAGATTTTATTAGATGTATTATGTCTCAGGGAGATGAAATACTATAACATTTTTTTATCAAATTTATTAGTTACAGCTAAGCTGTTAGCAGCTTTCTTTGATACAAGAAATTGAAGAGACTTTTTCAAGAGACCAGATATCCATTAACAAAAAAGATGATAATTCACAAGTAAATTTTTGAGAACTATTTTCATAAGTTTAGATTCAATCTGCTAATTACTATTGAGATATGAACCTATAATAAGATTTGTATTAAATTTTTATTTATTATAATTCACATGTCCAATATGTATTGCTTACCTATATATCCATCTAATCTCTCGTATGAAAATAATCAAAAACTATAAATAGAGCCATAATCTCATATGCATTCAGGAATATGTATTGATAAATGGATATTACTTGTAATATATTCAGGTCCATAGGTTCTTTTTATTTTCATTGACATATTTTTTAATCTTTCTTGAGTTTTCTGCAGATCATCTTTGGTAACAAATCTAGTAATCAATAAGTTACATGCTCAAACAAAATGTTTCAAAATCTTTTTATCATTATCATTTAACATGTCTCATAGAATTATTGTTACATAAATCATAATGAAGATCTTCTATTGATTAGTAGCGAGCTTTAAAAATTCTTCTTCAATAGTAATCTTTAGAGAGATTTGACCAATATCAGATGGAAGTTGAACATTATTCATCTTTCTTTGTACTATATGAAGTTACTTAGAATTTAATTTATTCTCTTTAATAAATATGGATTGAATAATCTATTTGCAATTTCAAGGAATTAGCAGTACATAAGATTTACTATTATGAATCTGATTAAATTCATGTAAGGGAGATGAAGTAATTCAGATCATCATACTCTGTGCTCTTTGAAATGAACTTTTCTTGTTCCTCTGGTGATATATTTAAGCTATTCTTAAGTATATTGTTTATATTCTTAAAAGTCCATAGATTCTCTAATCCATTGTTCATAATTATCCATGTTACCATAATGAGTTTTTTGAAACTTTTTACTATATCAGCTTCTTTTTAGACACCTGTGATATTTTATTATTGCAGATTTGTATTCAAATAACTTTCTTGTAACTGGAATATTGAAAGAACCTATAATTATCACAACTCTTATATTGAGCTCATTTTTATTTTCATATATTTTGGAAATTCTCCATCCCTCCTATAATTCCTTAAGTTCACCAACTATCAGGAATAAGTAATAATTAATTTGATTCTTATTAGTTTTCTTGGGTCCTAGTAGAAAGCTTAAATAATTAATATTTTCAGATTTATTTCTTTTTACCCTTGGAAGATTACATATTGAAGTATAAATAGTACTAGTATTATGTTGTATATATTTAAAGGATTGGAACCAGTCTAAATTTATTAATAATTCTAAATTCGTGGTAGTAGTTTCTGAACTAAAAAATTTATTACCATTGAAAGAAAATATATTTTATACTTTTCTATCATATATATCAGCATAAATACTATTATCATAATTTTTTGTGCCTAATTGATCTACCATTTTTCAAAGCCAGATCTCTAATATATGATACTTAATTGTTACTTAATTGAGAACTTAGGATATATTATTTGAGGAATAGCTACCATTTTTTTTATATTTCTTTTGAGAGAAGAAAGTTTATTATCATATAAATTCTTGTGGGAAGGTACAGAATTATTAGGATATTCTTTATAATTGCAATGTATAATTGTCAACTTATTATTTTCTTTATAATTACATACAATCTTAGAATCATATAATTTATGACAGTTTGTATAAACTGCCATTCTTAATTTTGGTTGAAAAATTCCTAACTTCTTTTTTGCTATAAATAAAGAAACAGGAAAATTATAAAACTTAGAATTATTGATTTCATAAGCATATTGTTTAAAAACTTAATTAAGATCTCCAGGACCATATCAGATATCTGGTACCTTTGTTAAAACTTAAATAACCACAAAAGTATTTCTATATCTAATTTATCTTTTAATTCTGCTCCTTCATAGTCTTCACCATCACTTTCTAGCTCAGGTGCAGCAAATAAGTTATCATCATCTTCAGGTGCTTCATTATCTATGTCCATATATTCTACTTGATCATCATCATCATCTTCTTAGTTATTAATCAATTCATCATCATCACATTGTTCTTCTAAGTCATCAATTAATTCATAATTTTCTTCATGTGATATTATCACAAATGTGTAGAGTATTTTAAACATTTTCAACTATTAGTCTCAGAGTTTGTCTTACATAAACTAATTTTTTAATACCTTCTAACTGCCAGTAGGTTAAGCAATCTGTTGATCTAAACTTGTTTATCTCAAAACAGATAATAAAATATAATATAATTCTTTTTAATTCTTTTTAATTTTTTATTTTTAATCCGAAGGCTCAGAAAGTAAGGTGGAATAAAAGTGTTAATACAGTATCAAATAATATTTAACAATATTTCAAAATATTGCAACGTAAGTTTATTAAAATATGAAGGTACAAATTTAAAAGTAAAGTATCATTTAATGACAGAAATATTATGGGTTACATGTCTATTTTGCCATTCCTAAAGGAAGTTTACTTTTCTATCTAATAATATTAATGTTCAAAACTATCTGTGAAGTCTAAGAAACTACTAAGACTACTGTTTTCTGTTTCCAATGACCACTTCTTTTATACTTTTTTCACCTTCATTCAAATTTTACCCATCATCTTTTGTACTTCATCCTTTATTCTTGTGCATTATCCTTCATCCTTGTACTTCATCCTTCATCCTTGTACATTATCTTTTGTATGACAACACAAGTTATTATCCTCGTACAATCATCTTAGAGTTACCATTTATCATCCCTGCATGCTTACAAAATTACTTTGCCACAATCTAGTTTGATCTCATTGCTCAATTGACTCCTGATTGACTTGGAGCAACTCAAGTCAAGCTGGACCACGATTTGACCAGCTTGAAGCCAAACTGAACCAATGACTTGAAACCTCAAGTCGAGCCAGTTTGGTCCCATCAGTTCAGTTCAGTTCAGCTTGGCTTAACAATTCTACAAAAGACAAGATAGATAAATCAATGCAAGAAGGTTTTGCTTAAAATATCAGACAACTTGAAAGCTCACATGAAGTTAATAAAGAAAAGAGAAAACGGGAAGAAGATTTTGATTATCTTTATGGTATATTTACTTCCGGTACACAATTTTACTCTATCTCTTATAAAAAAAGAAAGGATGTATTTTATTAAAATCATGGTTTCATTTGTTATAGCCCGAGAATGGTATTTTCACTTTATAACCCAGGACAGATCTCTCTAAGTAATGCATCCCTTTTATTATTGAATATCGCAAAGAAGATTTGGAATAAGGAAATCGGATGAATATGGAATTTTGTGCAAAAAAATATGAAAAATGTTTTAAGCATAATTGCTGGTTTGTTAAGTAACTGATGCTGAACCCGATCAAATAGCAATTAGTATAAGTATAAATAGGATTTCTCATATCGAAATTGTGTTTTATTTAAGAAATCACAGGCGATTTTTTTGTAATTTATGCAAAAAAATTATATCATATGTATAAAGAATTATAAACATTTCGATTGTGCCATTTGCCATAGTTTTATCTATGCTAATAAACTTTTGAATAATTAGTGTTTTGTGTACAAAATAGAATCGATTCTACAATAAACAAACTCCACAATTTAATTTATAATTTCAGAGCACCATACATACTATGCTGTGCATCTTTATTTTCACAAGATGATTCAGGAATATTTTGGTTTGCATATGAAAAAATATTACATCAAGCAATTGGACTTTGATTCTCTTATTTCATTCTAAACATTTGGAAAAATTAGATCCTCCAAATGCATTCATTTCAACTTGCATAGCACAAACAAATTTGTCAAAAAGAAAGATGTTAAAGGGCATAAATTAGAAATTTATTGCAACGAGAAATATTTTATCATTCCTTGATGTTATTAAAATTAATAATAATAATTATAATTTACGATTTGAAAAATGACATTTATTGTTTGGGATAATTATGATATATCAATGTATTCGTACTCGACTCGTAATGATTATAATTTGCTATTTATACTATAAAAATAAGATTCCTAAGGGTAATAAAGTATTTAATATAAACCAGAAAAGTTTTATACATTTAAAATGATTTTTTATGCAAGATAAACGTTATAAGTTTACCCTCAGGATTAAATTAAATTAAATTCATGAATGGCAATGAACTTTATAATTATCGAAAATAATGGAGAATTTATAATCGTAACAGTTTGATAACAAATGATTTATCTATCTTTAATATTGATTATTGATTTTGTACATTTTGTGCATTTTGTGCAATTTCGTGAATTTTTTTCACTTTGGAATTAGTTAAACGAGTAGGATGATATATAGGAGACGAATGACCTTCAGGTGAAGGAGTTGACTTAGAAGGAGTTGGCTTAGAAGTTGTCTTAGAATGTTTAGATGAATGAGTAGGAACACAAATAACAGATCTGTAATCAATTTCAAAAAAATCATCTGTAGTTACTTCAGGTTGTTGATATAAAAGTCGTAATTGATTTTCTATTTCAGGAAGAATTTCTTTCACATTAGGTCGATTATCTGGATTTGTATCCCAACACTTTGTCAATAAATCAGAATACCAAGGTGGCATCCCTTTTCTAATTTTTGGTCGTTCACCATTTTCTATCTTAGCAAATGGGAATTCTTCGAGATTAGAAAGCTCTTTAAAAGGAAATTCTTCATAATAAATTTCCCACATTAACATTCCAAAAGCATAAATATCCGATTTTGTTGTTTTTAGTTTACCACTACTAATTTCCGGAGCTATGAACGCACTGACTCCGTAAATACTCGTGGGTCCCATGTCAACTGGACCACAAAATCCAAGATCGCTAATTAGCCATTCTTTACTTCTTCCACTAAGTAGGACGTTACCTGGATGTAAATCTTTATGTATGTTTTCACTTTTATGAAGATTATTAAGAGAAAATGCAATGTCATAAAGGATATTAATCTTTTGTAACCAAGGAATGGTTTTTTTTTCTTTTCGAGCTGCCTCTAAAAAACTGTTTAAATCACATTCCATAGGGCGTAAAATTAGCATAAAATCTTGACTTTCAGGATCCATTGTTATTCCATAACAAAATACGACATTGGGTAACTTATTCATTAGATTGAGATGCGTTTTAGCCTGATTTAAAGAAAGAAATTTCAAAAATTAATTTATTCACTTAATGTTAATAAAAAATAAATTTTAAATAAATTATCGTTTAAACACAGACCTCAGAAATCCATTGTTGGCCTGGATTTTTTGAGTTGCGTAAACTTTTGAGAACTACATTCCGCTTTCCGTATCTTATATATTGTTGATTTTTGGAATCCCATTTGTCGTAACATCCTTCATTCCATTCAGCTGTATAAATATCTGCAAACCCTCCACTAGATAAATATTTTACATTGCTAAATTTTTTAAAAGGAACCCATTCAACGGCGAGATCCTGTCTGATTACATTTTTTTGGCAAGTTTGGAGCAATTCATCAATTTCTTTATTGCCAGATGTCCAATTCTTGAAATTGGTTTCCAAATATTTGCGAATGCAATATTCACAGTATT